GTGTTAGAGATTGTGGGAGTAAGTAAACTATTTATTTCTAGCGTTAAAGATTGTGAGAGTAAGTAAACTATTTATTTCTAGTGTTAGAGATTGTGGGAGTAAGTAAACTATTTATTTCTAGCGTTAGAGATTGTGAGAGTAAGTAAACTATTTATTTCTAGTGTTGGAGATTATGAGAGTAAGTAAACTATTTATTTCTAGTGTTGGAGATTGTGAGAGTAAGTAAACTATTTATTTCTAGCGTTAGAGATTGTGAGAGTAAGTAAACTATTTATTTCTAGTGTTGAAGATTGTGAGAGTAAGTAAACTATTTATTTCTATCGTTAGAGATTGTGAGAGTAAGTAAACTATTTATTTCTAGTGTTAGAGATTGTGGGAGTAAGTAAACTATTTATTTCTAGCGTTAGAGATTGTGAGAGTAAGTAAACTATTTATTTCTAGTGTTGGAGATTGTGAGAGTAAGTAAACTATTTATTTCTAACGTTAGAGATTGTGAGAGTAAGTAAACTATTTATTTCTAGTGTTGGAGATTGTGAGAGTAAGTAAACTATTTATTTCTAGCGTTAGAGATTGTGAGAGTAATTAAACTATTTATTTCTAGCGTTAGAGATTGTGAGAGTAAGTAAACTATTTATTTCTAGTGTTGGAGATTGTGAGAGTAATTAAACTATTTATTTCTAGTGTTAGAGATTGTGAGAGTAAGTAAACTATTTATTTCTAGTGTTGGAGATTGTGTGAGTAAGTAAACTATTTATTTCTAGTGTTGGAGATTGTGAGAGTAAGTAAATTACTTATTTCAAGTGTTAGAGATTGTGAGAGTAAGTAAACTATTTATTATGTGTGCATAAGTATTGGTATGTTTAAGAGGGTTACAAGTGTACATAAGTATTGTTATGTTTAACAGGATTACATGTGTACATAATTATTGTTATGTTTATCACGATTCTATGTGTACATAAGTATTGTTATGTTTAACACGATTTTGTGTGGACATTAGCATTGTTATGTTTAACAGGATTACATGTGTACATAAGTATTGTACAAAATTAATTAAGCTAGGTTATTTTAATTGTGAACTACGTTGTATATAATGAATTGTTTCCCGGGCCTTTAAATAAATCACCATTTTAATAGTATTACTTTCATTTCATCCTGGTCCCGATAGATGGTGACAGTTTACATTGTCAACGAAAAGGCATCCTTGATTTGTTTGTAATAGATTCATCGTGTGTCACAACAGATGATTCATTAGAAAATGTGCCCCATAGATGGCGCTAAATAAAAACCTTAAACCTTTATTAAAACTATCTATCAATTATTGACACGTTTGTTTGTAGTTAAGCGCAAAGCTACACAATGGGCCGGCCATCTGTGCTCTGTCCACCGCGGGTATCAAAACCAGGTTTCTAGCTTATTGACACGTTTGTCAGATCGTCGCTCAAGTCTAAGTGATCCTCACCAATGTAAACATTTTAAATAACTAAAATAAATTTATGCTTTTATCAGAAATAATTTTTATGAGTATGTTCACCTATATTTTATGTAATGAAAGGAAATATTTTTCTATTTTCAGCTCGACCAACTAGGGCAGAAGTTACTGATATAGAAGTATAAATGATTAAGGCCTAGCGGAAACATTTCTACAGTTGGAATAAAGAGTTACCAAGATCAATACAAAAAGAATTTCAGCAACTTATTACAGATAATTATCATAGAAATTCGAAATTTTTTTCTCTTCTGAAATCTAGGGATGGTAAAAATTAAACACCTGAATATCTTGGTGACAAATACCATACTATTAGCTTTAGTACTTTCTACCTGTTTCATGTTTATATATATATACGCAAAGAATCTCTAAGAAACAGAAGGATGTAGGGTAACACGAGGTAAATAAACAGTATTTCCTTTTAACGTACGTTTTCTGTGATATGTTTTAACTCCAAACATTACAAAGTGAAGCCTGTGTTTATGAAAACAATCAAAGTAAAAATATAACTATAACAACATGTCTTCTTCCCACTGACTGTCATGGAGACACAATCGGAATAGAAATAAAACTATAACAATAAGTCTTCTTCCCACTGACTGTCATGGCAACAACAAAAAACTACAACAATATGTCTTCTTCCCACTGATTGTCATGGAGACACAATTAAAGTAAAAATAAAACTATAACAACATATCTTCTTCCCATTGACTGTCATGGCAACATAATTAAAGTAAAAATAAAACTATAACAATATATCTTCTTCCATTTACTGTCATGGCAACACAATCAAAGTAAAAATAAAACTATAACAATATGTCTTGTTCCCACTGACGGGCATGGAAACATAATTAAAGTAAAAATAAAACTATAACAATATATCTTCTTCCATTGACTGGCATAGCAAAATAATTAAAGTAAAAATAAAACTATAACAATATGTCTTGTTCCCACTGACTGGCATGGCAACATAATTAAAGTAAAAATAAAACTATAACAATATGTCTTGTTCCCACTGACTGGCATGGAAACATAATTAAAGTAAAAATAAAACTATAACAATATATCTTCTTCTCATTGACTGTCATGGCAACATAATCAAAGTAAAAATAAAAATATAACAATATATCTTTTTCCATTGACTGACATAGCAAAATAATTAAAGTAAAAATAAAACTATAACAATAAGTCTTCTTCCCACTGACTGTCATGGCAACAAAAAAAAACGACAACAATATGTCTTCTTCCCACTGATTGTCATGGAGACACAATCAAAGTAAAAATAAAACTATAACAATATATTTTCTTCCATTGGGATTTTACGACATACTTAATTACGAACACTACTGTTTCGATTACTCCGTTATCAGTGCTCATTAAGGGAGTGACTACAAACTTTAACCACTAGGCCTATTGCGTAACTTTGCATTAAAAACAACTTACAAATTTATTTACAAAATATGATAATTTTAACTGAATTGATCAAAAAATTGTTTTTTTTTTTCGACACGGCTAACATTTAAAATGAAATTTCAAGCATTCTTAACATATCAGATGTTAGTTTGTTTACTACATTATTCACTGGTTATCTGTTAGTCTTAGAGATATAGGCTCGCCCACTGGCCTTGACCAAGTTTTGTATCATTACATGTAATCAAATAGCATAGCAGATAACCAAGTTCTGTCTTATTCGAAGGGCTGTTAATGATTTGAAACGACCTTGAGTACTTGGCTTCTGAGCACAGATGACTCGCAAGCTTAACACTGCATTTAATCAGTCCTAACTCTACAGTATTGGTGCTTATCATTAATAATATTTTACATGTTGTTTACTGGGGTGTTCATCTATTATTTCATGGGTTCAAACATCAATTATATATATATATATATCGTTGCGTTTGTATTTTGCAAAAGATAAAACATTGTTTACATTTCAAAATTAACTGATGCCTTTACTTTCTATTGCGTCCGATAGGTGGTGCCACTAACAAACAAAATGAAAGTTTTATATGGAAGAAATGTTCCCGCTTTTTCTCTTGGAGTTACTTTCACATAATAGTCGTGGACGCTAAGATACAGGGTTCGATACCCCGTGGTGGGCAGAAAGCAAATCTTCAACTGTGTAACTTTGCGCTAAAAACAACAAACACTACATAATCGTAACAGACGTGAGACTGTTAAACAGGACGTTTCTTCTGATTTGTTTCATAATTTTAATAATTACCTCGGGGGGTTCATAAAAGAGCCGGAGGAAGTTGAGGGAGTAATATTCAAGATAATTTCACAAATTTCATGACAAGCTACCTTGACCATCAATTCGTCAACTATCTCTGGCTCTAGTTCACTTTTGACACAAGGTCAACATCCACGGTTATAAATCTAATCAATCTATTATCAGCACTAGTCCCTTTAAGTCCTTCTGACCGCACGTGGGTTCAACCCAAAATTACTTCTATGACGTCGTCGGACTGCCACAACCCTCTGAACAGTCATTATTGACCCTGGAATTGGGGCAGCTAGAAAGAAAATATTGAAAGTTTTTGTTTTCTCCAAGTGAAAACTAGCATCTAAGTTAGAGCCCCATAAAAATATTTCTAGCACTTATATCAAAACATCGAATTGTGTACATAAAACTAAGTGATCAACCAGTAAACTAAATATGCCAGAAATACAGAGAAAAAGCTTCTTCTCTTGAATATATTTTCACCTGTTCTTGTATGATATATTTCCAGATCTTTCAATGTAATAACAGTGTAAACAAAATCACTCAGTTTTACCCTACTGATAATAACTGGTCTTTATTATAATAACCCTACTCAGTTCGGACGCTCAGTTCATGGTTTTATACAGTTATACACGTGTCTCGGAGGTAAGCTTGAGAACTTATGACTAAAGCTCGGGGTTCGATCCTCAGTACGCACGAGCAATTTAAACAAGTAAAACTTACCAGACTTCTACATATACTAACCCAATAATCTGTACAGAAGATTCTTGTGCAAGAAACGCGTGCATGATGACGTCAAACATTTTACGCATACTTAAAAAATGTTGAAACATCAGCTGCTTACATCAGATAGACCTGTACACTTCATCATCATCGTCATGTACACTTCACAGATGTATCATCATATATACCTGTACACTTCACAGACATATCATCATATATACCTGTACACTTCACAGACATATCATCATATATATACCTGTACACTTCACAGACATATCATCATATATACCTGTACACTTCACAGACATATCATCATATATATATACCTGTACACTTCACAGACATATCATCATATATATATACCTGTACACTTCACAGACATATCATCATATATACCTGTACACTTCACAGACGTATCATCATATATAC